AGTTGGGGACCAACCTGGCCAACATGGTGAAGCCCTGTCTCTACCAAAATACAAAAAGAAAAAAAAAAATAGCTGGGCATGGTGGTGGGTGCATGTAATCCCAGCTACCTAGGAAGCTGAGGCAGGGGGATCACTTGAACCTGGGAGATGGAGGTTGCAGTGAGCTGAGATCACGTCACTGCACTGGAGCCCTGGTGACAGAGTGAGACTCTATCTCAAAAAAAAAAAAAAAAGAAAAAAAAGAATACTAACTCCTCTGACATCCTGCTGGAGGAGGCAAGAGATGGGCTGTGTAACCTTCTCCAGCCCCTTCCACTCTTGTAAGGCTGACAGCTGCTGGATTTTCTGGGACCAATTTGTTGTACCAATGACTTGGCCACACTGTCTGTAAGCACTGCTAGGGGAATGGCTTCCCTGAAGTGTTTCCATAGATGGTTCCATCTTAGCATTTTCATACCCACCCTCTGTAGAGTTTCCTAAGGAAATTCTTTGGAATCTGTTCTACCAGTTTTCAGGCACACCATTCCAATGTGCTCAAATTGTGTCTGGCATCACTACCCATCAAGTAGGTGGCAATGCACAAACTCAGCACTGCTCTGCCCAGACTGCATGCATCTGGTTTGCAATCAGAACAACACTGAGATTTTGTTAGGGTATAAGGCAAGTTCTAAAATGTACTCCTGCCAGAATGCCTTGATGATAATAAATTTGAGGCACTAACATCATGCTGGTTAGACTCTCTTGAAGACAAGCCCTCCTTCCAAGAATGTGGTAATGTGTGGGCCTCTCTTTTGGATATTTCTGCATTTCATACCTATTACATGTGCCCTGTTGTGGATCTCTACTTTTCTTTCCTGTAAAACCTTTTAATAAAGGATGACATTTTTAAAACAGAGAGTATTTTCTCCAAAATCCTCTTTGGTGGCTGTCTAATGAAATTTTTTTATTAAGCATAAAAATAGGCTGTTAACACTGGAGACATCCTTTACACAGGGCTACCACTCACTAGAGGCCCAAGAGGCTGTGCTCAAAATGCAGTCTTGTAAGAGACAAAGCTTTTGTGGCCGTAAGAGCTATTCTGCTTCAGAGTTGTGACAATTTGTTTTTGAAACTGTTTTTTGTGGATTTACAGTACTGTATCGGCCTGACAACAAGGAGCTTATGCAGTGTGGCAAGAATTTTTTCTCTGCCCTTCTCCAAAAATCATCTTCATCACAGATCACAGAAGCCTCAGAGATCTCCACTTCCACTGACTGGCAAAGTATGGTACAAATTAAACAGCTCTGATGGTGTACAGAGAACTGCTACCATTTTCTTTTCGGGTGCTTTTATCTTCAAAAGGGCAAAACTGGCCCTAACCATATGTATTTTATACATCTTTTATGTATCTGTACAAGAATAGTTAATCCAAACTAAGCAATATAACATTTTTCCCACCACAAATTTGGTAATATATACAAAGATTGCAGCTGCCCATGGGTCTGTTTTGGTTTGCAAGCTGTCTTGATGGACAAGGGTCTATTTTTAAGCTAACACTTTATTTTCATCTGTCAATGCAGTTTTAACCTTGAAATAATACTTATAAAATGGAAGCATTTTTATATTGCTCCAAATAGAACTTTCAAGAAAAAAATTGCAACTGTTAAAAAGCATCTTGGTCTCTCAGTTCCAAGATAGTAATTAATTTAGAAACATTATCAACTTATTTTTTAATGCCAAAACTTTCAGTTTGGCTGCTTGACTGTGCATTTGCTATTTGAAAATAGAAAATGGAAATAATTTGTGCATAGGTTATGGAGTATTTTGGAAAAAGACCTATGATCTGGGAAATGGTATGTTGGTTTGCATTGCAAAGCAATAAGTGAGTGAATACAAAAGTGTTTTTTCTATGTGCCTCTGAAGTAATTGAACTTGAGGAAAATGTCATATTGAGGTTTTAAGAGGCTAGGGAGGTGAGAAGAAGAATCTTTCAAAACAAGGGGAAATCTCAGGGGAAACAGTATGGAAACGATTTCATCTCAGGAATTCACACAGTGACAGACACGTCACCGAGGAATGGTGGTGTGGATGGCGCAGTAAGAAGAAATAGTTGGGATGTAGATAAATGTTTTAAAAGCCATGATTGGATTTGTCAATACACCAAGAATAAGAAATGCTTTGTGCACAGTAATAAATATAAAGTACGGTTTATTTGCAAAAGTCAGCTGTGTATAAGCCATAGCCTTCCGCTAAAAAGTTAGGTCTAGAAAGCAAAAGGGGGAATTCCTGTCATTTCTTATGATCTCAAAGGGATGTTGGAGAGAAGAGCACAGCATTTGTCACTTGCTTTGAGCATCGTGTGCTACAGTCATGTTGAGAAGTGAGAGAAGCACTCTGGAGACATAATTTCCAGTGAGGTTCTTTTCCCGTGTCCACTAACATCTCTAACCACAGACACACATGCCTATGCTTTAAAATATTCTCAAAAGGATGCTCCATTTGCACAGCAGAAACCCTTTGCTGAATTCAAAAATAGGTTTTATTAATTAATGAATCATCACTTTGAATTGCCCTACTGACCTGGATATATTCTTTACAAAATGCTCTTCCCTTTAAGTTAGAAGATGGGTGTGCATCTTTTTGTTAATATTTTTTAGAGAAAATTAGAATTTTAATTCTAGGTTTCTAGTGGCAAATCTTTAAAAAAATTATAACATAAAATTTCAAACCCAAAACAAAAGGAGAAAATAGACTATAAAGAAACCGTGTGTATTCATTATCCTGCTTTAGCAATTACTGTATTTTGCCAATCTTGGCCAAATCTTTATAAAGTACAAGTGTCAGGTTATACTTTCTATATTGAGACATATTCCTGTAAAGAGGCATGTAAATTGAACTATTGTAAATTTATTGGGAAATCTTGCTCTTAAAAATTATCTTAAGTCCATTGGCTAAAGTGAATAATCATTCCCTTTTCTGTTTTTTAGAGTAAATGCTTTTTGTCCTCCTTCCCTATCTCTTCTCCTCCCTCTCCCCACTCCTCGCTCTTCCCTCCCTTCGTTTTGTTTCAGCAGGGAGTACTTTTTGCAATATCTGGACTGGGAAGTTGTCCTTTTCCATAGGATTATGCATGCTGATAGTTTCAGTGGGAAAGAGGTAAAGAGTGTTATGAAGAGGATTTAAAAAATATGTATCTGTGTGTGTGGTTCATGTTTTATGGTCAATCTGGTGAAGCCACTTACTTCCAGCATTAGTAGTAATCACATTTTGATTCCATAATTGCCCACTTTACATTTAACTCAAGATTTCACCAGGTAGGAAGTCAGGTCAAAGTTGTCCCTCTTAGGGAGTGAATGCCTCTGGTGCTTACCAGGGTTTTGGAGAACACGGCCTGTTTCACTGAAGTCTGGGTGTGGCTCTCTCCTCGGGATAGAAATATATGACTTCTTAAGCACTGTGGTGGACCCTGCTAGAAACCTTCCTAACATCCATTCTTTCCATAGTGACAGAATTATAATCCTGTTTGGGGTGGCAACGTCCCCACCTAAACCACTGTATGTCCCAGCCTTCCCAACGAGACATGAATAGAGGTTTGCTGGGGATTTGGGGGAAAAATTATCGTGTAGGCTGGTGTCCTGTCCCCTTCTTCCTTTCCCCTTTTCCTTCTGTGTGGATGGGGTACCACAGAAGGACCGCTATCTTGTGACCATGAGGTAAGAAGCGTGAGGAGTAGATGAGAGAGGGAGGAGGCTGGAACCCAGCTCCTGCTGAGGAATTGCTACACCTGCCTGCACCAGCCACCTCAGGATTTCTTGCTATATTTGAGAAATAAATCCTCTTTGATTAGAGTCAGCTTTCTGTTACCTGTGTAGAAAGGCAATTTCAGATGGACTCATGCATAATATATAGGAAATCATGCCGTTTCTTCAACTCAACCTTGGGTAACATCATTGTGCATGTCTTGAGTTAGGGAAACTGTCTGAGAGAAACGTGAGCAGGACTCAGCCCTCCGAGTAGTGAATGTCTTTCTGGAAAACAGCCCATATTTTCTTGACTTCCTGAACACTTTCACAGGAACTAGTCATATCATTGAGTCACAGATGATTTTTAGACATGTTACGGGGATCGTTTTCCTTGGTGGTGTGAATTTGCTTTCAATGTTTACATGCACTGCATAAATAAAATAATCTAGGAAATTCAGGTTTGAGTAGCTCTATACTTAAAAATGCTATCATTGTTTAGCAGAGACGGTGCCAAATAGGGTGGCTTCTTCTAAGGTGAATAAATCAGGCATGGGATGGTATCACTACAAGGCCTTCAAATGCTCTGAGAGCAATGTGTAAAGGCCATTAAAGATTTTTTTTTTTTTTTTTGAGAAGTGACAGATTACCTAACACAATAATCCATGCTATTGGACAAATTGGTTTGAAAAGAATACAGCTGGCTTCGTTTCAACACCACTAATGCTACGAACGGCAGCAACCAAATGATACCTGGAGGGCAGGGGCCCTTGTGTGACAAACCTGGCTCTGGGCCAGCTCAGGGGAATAAGCTCAAAGAACGTTTTCTCCTTGTTTTTCTGTCTACATTTGGCACCTGGCAGCCACATAAGGGCTGTTAACATCAGATGTTGTGTAAATCTAAACAGGTAAAAAAATCAGGATCAATTTTTTAAGATAGAAAACTTTCCAGCAATTCATCTTGAACACAGAGCTCTGGCATTCCTCAGTCTCTGTGAGGCCTCCTGTTGCAGCAGATAATTTATGACTCCCACATCTTGGCATTTCGTTAAAACCCAAAGCATTTGACAAACTGTATTTTCAGAAAGTTTTTTCCATGAGTTGGTTTCTAGCAGGAGGAATTTATGATGAGTTGACTTAATCCTTGCTTTTCGGAGGCATCTAAAAAAAGTTCTTTCTATAAACAGTAGAACTGCGTGTAGGGGATGGCAGACCAAGCAATGGCTAGGATGTCCTTGTGAAAGAAATCTCACCCAATGCCGTTGTAAAGGCTCCTGTGTGCTGCCCAGCTTTCGTGTCTACCTCCTGAGCTAATTGTGCTGTCTGGAGGTTGGCAGGCTTCCAGCCTTACCTGGACCAGTTTTGCTCCCAAACCCAGGTTGCCTGTGTATTCACTTATTACATCTAACCACTGTGAAATCATTCACAGACTTTGGAAATCACATATGTAAGGTGATTTATTTATATATTTTGACTAATAATCTTAACTTGTCATTTCATTTTTAAAATTTGATAAACGGACTGGGAGTTGGAAGAGGGAGCTGTTCATGTTAAATTTATAACCCTGCTTCCTGGCATTTCTGGGTCGGTTATTGCTATTGGATTTCTTTCTTTTTTTTTTTTTTTTGGTCAGAAACGTGTGTGTGTGTGCTTGTGTGTGTGTGTGTATTGGGGTCTCTTGCTTGTTCCTTCTGGTTTCCCTCAATATGTCAATATTGTGTTACACAGAAAATTTTTGAGAGGTGCAGCCTTCAGAGAATTTTTATTCACTGAGAAAGAGGAAAACTGAAAAATGTGAATATAACATTTTGTCAGTGTAATTTTTGCCTTTTCTTGCTGTATATACACAATGTAAAGTTAAATGGCGTTTCAGCAGTGATTCAGTTATTTTGATAGGCAAAATGGAAAATTCAGACTCTTAAATATATTTTCTTGTCTGTTTCCCCAATTATTATCATCTATGTGGAATTCAATGATGGTCACAATTCCACTTCACTTTGAGCTGAATACACATCACTTCTTCTTAAATCTTTCTTGTGTGTTTCTATGACCAACAGAAATGAGCAGGGAGGTGTGGGGCAAGTGTGTAGATATTTCATATTACTGTTCCAATTGCTTGAGGGATAATATGAGTAATACTGGTTACTTATGTTGACTGAATGCACAGTTGACTGATTGTTCTCCTGCAAGTCTTGGCTGTACAGACATAAGTCCATGTAGCTTGGGTTAAACAGCAAGTACAGGCAAAGAAAATTAGTGGTGTGGCAATTATCTGGATCATTCAGATTTAAAACACTACTTATCCTTGAAATGGTTTCAGGGGAAAAATGGTTTTGTGGGGACTTATTTAGATCAGGGTTTGGGAAACTTTCTGTAAAGGGCCAGTACATATTTCAGACTTTGCAGACCTGACAGTCTCTATTGCAACTAGTCAACTTTGCAGCACAGAAACAGCCATAGAGAATACTTAAAGAGGTGGGTATGGCTGCATTTCAATAAAATCTTATTAATAAAAACAGGCAGTGGATCAGATTTGGACAGCTTTCTTTAGATGTTCTATACGGGTCTTTATTCTCTAAGTTGTGTAATCACTAGATCACCAGTGATTATTCTGCCTCATGGGAGTGGAAAGGGCACATGTGTGTGTTAAGTGTGTGTGCATATAGATCTGATCAATGCTATTTATGGATGTTAAGATGAATCAGACTTAAATAAACCCTGAAGCATCTCAAACTACTCGGTTTCAAAATTCAAAATGTTTTACATAGTCTTTTCTCCTGTCAATCTTTTCAATTGTTCCAAGCCTTCCCGTCTACGTGCTGTAGAGAGCAAGGCTGAGAGTGTTGACAGACAGTGGGCAGGGCTGTCTCAGAGGCAGAGAATGAAGGATGGAAAACTGACACCTTCTAGAAATTGAAGACAACGACATGGTCTGGACTGTCTGGAGAAGCGAGTAAATGAGATGTTTAAGCTGAATTAGGGTGTGCAGGTTTTTTGAGGTGTATTTATCTGTCAGGGATGATTACTGCTTTTGTCTGCCCCATTCTTGCTCCATGATCCATAATGACTGAGTGGGCACACAGCACCGGCCAGAAGAATCAGGGACCTTCCCACGTGTTCGAGGTGGTTCTGGTGGTGAGGATGTCTTTCTGTTCAGACTGGAAAGTCTGAGTTGTGAAAGTCAGAGTTGTCTCTGGCCACGCTCCCTGAAGTGTAGAAAGCCCTTTGGCAGTAGACAGTGTGGCACCAATGGCCTGCAGAGCGATGACATGAACAGAAAGTGTCATCTCTGATCTCTGAAGCTCTCCTTTGACTCTGTGAACCACCCAGTACCTTCCTGATCACCCCCTTTATTTTGATTTAGCTATTTTTAGTTGGGAATTTTACAGCCACAATCAAACAGTCCTGGCTGTTTTTTACCATCTCATTGGTAGAGTATCTGTCTTCAAATGTCAAGTTGTATATAAAATCTATATTTTCATAGAAAATATGTTTCTTTTTAACAAAACTGATGTGTCTACCTTCCTGTTACATTCACTATGTTCCTAAGAGAGGCAAAAGATACCTTCCAATATCTTTTTAGGAGGAAATACATAATTCTATCTAGAACGTTGTGACTTTATACGCACATACTCACAAGACACATACACAACCACACCTACCTCCTCTTTCTTTGGAGTAAAAGTTGCTGTTTGGAGGCAACTACCTTTTACAGACTTCAGGATGAACAAATAATAAAAATAACAAAGAAAATTTCCAGAGAGGTTGAAGCCACTGTGGCAGAACCCAGCAGTTGTTTAAAAATGTTTTCATTGCTCTAAGGGAATTTCTTCTACTTTGGATCCACAAAACCATATGACTGGTCTCCTCTGACAAAGTGAAACAGAAGCTATGACAGACTTCACAACAGAAAGTCAAGTGGAGAGCTGGAAATGAATATAATCAGTGTTCACAAACAAGCTATAAATTTCCAGGAAGAAAGATTCCATTTGACATATTAATTTTTTGCATGAGGCAGTCCACAAAAATCTTGATAAACAGTGTATTTCCCAGTGTCCACTGGACTCTGTGCAATATGGTCCAAGCCAAAATGGACACAAATTTATGAAAGAAAACTAATCTTTTTGATTCTCAATAGTCAAGATATTCTTTTGACTTTTTAATAACTCAATTACAGTAAAGTTTACAAATCTTAAGTGTGTAGCTTACTGAATGAATTTTCATCTGTGTAGATATCCATGAAACCACTACTCACATCAGCAGTTACAGTATTTCCAGCATTCTAGAAAGTTCCCCCATGCCCTTTGTATATCCTCACCAAAGGCAACCACTATTCTGAACACCGTAGATTACTTTGGCCTGTTCTTAGGCCTCATATAAATGGAACTGTAGGCTATGCATTATTTTAGATTTGACTTTTTTTACTGTACAGTAGGTTGGTGAGAATCACCCACACTGTTGAGTATAGCAGGATACTTTATTTTTATTGCTGTGTAATAGTCCACTGCACCAATATACCGCAAAGTATTTAATTATTTTGTTGCTGATAGAAATTTGGATTGTTTCCTGTTTGGGGTGATTATACATTAATGTGCTAAGAATTTTCTTGTACATATCTTTGAGTACACACATGTACTCTTTTCTTTTCATTAATATACCCGGGAATGGAATTTCTGGATCATAAAGTATGTGTGTGTTTAGCTCTAGTAGATACTGGTAAGCAGTTTCCAAAGTGATTGTTCTAATTTACTGTCCCACCAAAAGTGCATGAAAGTTCCATTTGGTCCATATCCTCATCAACATTTGGCACTGTAAGTCCTTTTAATTTTAGTTCTTTTGATGATTGTATTAGTCTGCTCAATCTGCCATAACACAGTACCATAGACTGGGTGGCTTAAACAACAGAAATTTATTATCTGACAGTCTGGGAGGATTGAAATCCAAGATTAAGGTGCTAGCAAATTCGGTTTCTGGTGAGGGCTCTCTTTCTGGCTTATAGATAGCTGCTTTCTCTCTGTCTCATCTCGTGGCCCTTTCTCTGTGCATGAGCGTGAGAAAGAGCCCTCTAGTATCTCCTCCTCGTATAAGGATGCCAGTCCTACCAGATTAAGACCCTGCCATTATGACCTCATTTAACCCTAATTTCTTATGTAATTTCCCAAGCAAAGCCTCATCTCCAAGTACCATCACATTGGGAGCTGGGGCTTCAATATATGAATTTTGAAGGCCATCTGGATGGCCAGTAAGCATATAAACCTTAAGTGACTGCTTAAGGTTTAAGCCCATTAAAACATTGGTTGTCATTCTCCTTATTGATTTGTAGGAGCTCTTTATATATTCTAGATACTAGTTGTTTGACAGATACATTAATCACAAATACCTTCTCCCAATCTAAAGCTGGTTGTTACTTATCTTCATCTTGTGTTATGATGAACAGAAGTTCTTAATATTAAGGAAGTCTAGTTTTTCAAACTTTTATAGTTTGTGTTTTTTGTGTTTAAGAAGTTTTTGCCCACACCAAGTTTCTGATAAATTCTCTTCAGCTTTCTTCTAGAAGCTTGGTTGTTTTAACTTTTGCATTTGAGTCTATGTGGTACCTTAAATTAATTTTCTCCTACAATGTGAGGTAGAGACTCAAATTTTATTTTTTTTCTTTGTCTAGTTGAAGGTCCATTTGACCCAGAACCATTTGTTTTTAAAACTCCCCACTGAATTACAGTGTGTTTTTATTGTAAATCAGATGATGACTCTATATGGGTCTATTTTTGGGTTCTCTATTTTGTCCCATTGGTCCATTTATCTTTGTGCCTCCATCCCTGTCTTTACTACTATAGCATCTTACATCTTGTTATCTGATTGTGTAAATCCTCCAGATGTGATTTTTAAGATTGCTATGGCCAGGTCCTTTGCATTTTCATATACATCTTAGAATCAGCTTGTGAGGTTCCACAAAAATCCTGCTGGAATTTTTATTAGGATGACATTGAATTTTTAAGTTAATTTAGGGAGAATTTATACCCTAACAATGTTGAGTCTTCTAATACATGAAAATGACTTATTCCTTAATATTTTAAGTCTTTCAAAATTTTGCTCAGCAATGCCTTGTAGTTTCTGGTATATAGATTTTGCACATTTTTGTTAGGCTTGTTCCTAAGTATTTTATGATTTTTGATACTTTTATATTTGGTGTTTTTAAAATTTCATTTTCTAATTGTTTTCAGTAATTATGCAATTACTTTTTGTATCCAACAATCTTAAGTTACCTTAACAAATTGAATAGTCTATAGTTTCATTTGGATTCTCTATGTGCACTTAATCATCTCCTCTATGAATAATGTTTTACTTTTTTCTTTCAAATCTTTTTTTTTTTTTTTTTTTTTGAGACGGAGTCTCGCTCTGTCGCCCAGACTGGAGTACAGTGGCCGGATCTCAGCTCACTGCAAGCTCTGCCT